ACCGTGTTACCGCGCCCGCCCGAGTCACTGACTTGCAGTGAAGTGCCCGCGCGTCAGCGCGGTCTGCGAGAGGCGTTAGAGAGTCCCCAGCGGTCAGCGCCACCGCGGCCGCGTCGGTCGCGCCAACCTGAAAGGTCGCTCTGCGCCCGAGCTTGCGCGCGCTAGCGCGGCCGCAGCGAGGCGCCAGACAGAGCTAAGCAGTCATTGCACTCGCAACCGCATTGGCTTTGCAAAGCAAGTTGCGGGTGGGTGGGTGGGTGGGTGGGGTGGTTCCGCGAGCAGTGGAGTTGTCAGTTTCAAATCGAGACCGTGAATTGCGCCAAATAACTTGCACGACATAGATGGCACAACGTAGATTGCAGAACATAGGTTGCTCAACATAGACTGCATCACATATATCGCACCATTCAGATTGCATCACATGGGTTGCACCACGTAAGCTGCACCACATATATTGCACCATGTAGATTGCGTGACGTAGACTGCACCACATATTTTGCACAACATCGATTGGTCGTACCGCATTTTTGCACAGCATACTTCGCAACTTCGAACATCAGGATCTCACAACACATGCATAACCATACGCTGTTTGGGGTCCATGCTGGCTGACATATCTAATTGGTGGGATTCTACATTTCCTGAAATAAGGGGCAGCGATTTTTCGGGTGGTGGGATCTTCTATATTGTTAGAGCGCATAAGGGAAGTGGGACCCCAGCAAGACCGCGCAAGGTGAGTGTCTTGTTAGGCTTGCAGGTGGGTAGGGGGTTCAATTGCTCATGAGTCCCGGTCCCCCTCACGGCTGCCGTCGAGGTGAGCTCATGTCTGTGAGCAACATGTGCATTCGGGCGCACTCACAACAAATTCGCCGGCCCAACGGGCCCGAGACGTGCTAAGATCTAAGATTCTTCGGTAACTACCTCAGAATATTTCTAGTTCGCGCGCACGGGGCGGCCCCTAGGGGCCCCCAGACGAAAAGTACCCCGGCTGACCCCCGGCCGGGTCCCGGGCGATCCCCAGGGGGGAGGCTATTTTTTGCCACCCCTCACGAGGATCGTGGCCTCCGAGGGGGTGGCTGCAATCGACTACCCCCCCTCCCGCCCCAAGGGGCCCCCAAGAGCCCCCTAAGAGGCCCCAGGGGAGCCCAAGACGCCGCCAAGGAGCCCCAAGACGCTCCCAAGAAGCCCCCAAGAGGCCCCCAAGACGGCCCCAAGAGGCCCCAAATAGCGCTCCAGGGCCGGCGGAATGAGCGAAGCGATTAAATAAGGGAAGTTTTGGCACGGCGTTGGATTGGGGGCCTTTGGGGTCATCGGGGGCCCATTGAAGACAGTTTTTGTTGATGCTTCTTGCCTTCTAGGGAGCATCCGAGGACATATTCTTGCCATCGTGGGCCCGTCAGCACATGCCACTTGTCTGCATTCAACCATCTTGGGTCGTCCTTGGGCCACCTTGGCACCATCTCGGAGCCACCTTGGGGCCAACACAGGGCCCGGCGCACTTTTTATTAGCGTTTTTAGGGCACTCTTGGGGGGCTTTTCCACATGTGTTCGGCCCCGTGAGGCTGCCTTCGCTCGCGCGGACTGGATGCAAGCACCTCCTCTTGACCCGAGCTGCCTGTGTGCAGTGCATAACACGCTCGTGGCTCGTCGGGATGGGTCCTCTTCCCTGGCCTCGAGGCTCGAGGGTTTCAGGCCTTCTTGTCGGTTCTCTGCGGTTTTTCAGCCTCGGTGCGCCTTCGAGCGGCTGCGCCTCGCCGAGAGATCTCCAGGGGTGTCCAGGCCGTCCCGAGTTATGATCCGAGAACCACCAGGGAAGCTCTCTCTCTCTCTCTGCCTCTCGCTGTGTTCCTCTCCAACAGCAGAGTTCGTCCCTCCTTCATCTCTCTCGCCCTCTGACGGGTGCACTTTCCGAAACGCGTGGGCATCACAGCAGTGTGTTTGCGTTCTTTCGCTTGATCCGCTTGGGCCATTCTGTTCCATCGCCCCTCGCTTCCTACAAATTGCAGCCTCTGCCCTTCGCTCCTTCAGAAGTTGGTATCGCGGGAGGTACACGTTGCAGAACAATTTGTTGTTTATCAGTCTTTCGAACCTTAGCGGTGCTGTCTACCAGGTGAACCGCCGCCCTTGCTTGCAACGATGATGACCGATTGTTGGTGGGAAGTGGACGGAGATAAGAAAGGCAGGAAGGAAAGAAAGGGGAAGGGATGCAGGCAGGACGCGTATGCTGGCAAAGCTCAGCAGTTGAATCAGGAGAGCATGCGGGGTGAGGGAGCCTGAGAGGGAGGGAGGGACGGAACGAAGGCAAATATAGGTGATATGCTAAAGGGAACCGAGAGGGTCCAGCGGCATAGGGCGATGCTGGATGCTCGAAGCCTCTCCGCATCTCCTCCCCCCCGAGGGGGAGGGAGAAGGGAGGAGGAACGGAGATCCTGCCTGCGCGTGTGGCCTCTGGGCAGCCCCGTCGTGGCGTGCTCTTCTGCCGTGACTTCCTGGTATCCGC